GACAGTAAGAAAGGTACACTACTTATTACTGCAAGAGCAGCTGATGGGAAGGACCTCAGACAACTTCCATTTAAAAACAGGCTATAGGGACAAGTGCCATCAGTTTGAGGCTTGATTGAATAACATTAATTAAAAAATAAATCATACTATCAAAATACTACAATGAATGAAAATAAGCTTGAGATAATTGAAACTGTGGTTTAAATAAGTTCTAATTGGCTATTGAATAAAATTGAATCAAATTCAACCACCACATCAATCACATCACCAGGACCGCATTTTTCCACCTCAAAAACATTGCCCGTCTCCGCCCATCACTCTCCTCCTCTGCTGCTGAGACCCTGATTCATGCATTCATCACTTCACGACTCGACTACTGCAATAGCATCCTCTACGAGTCTACGGCATACCATCCAACCTCCTCAATAAACTCCAACATATCCAGAACTCTGCTGCCCGCCTCCTCACCCACACCCGCTCCCGAGACCACATCACTCCCGTCCTCCAGAACCTCCACTGGCTCCCCGTCCGTCAAATAATCAACTTCAAAGTCCTCCTGATTACTTACAAAGCCCTCAACAATCAGGCCCCTCCCCTACCTCACAGACCTGCTGCACCACCACACCCCTTCCCGTTGTCTCTGCTCATCAGAAGCCAACCTCCTCTCCATCCCCACCTGCTGAGGGACTGGTCAGCTTTCTGTCCCCAGAGTCAGAACTAAACATGGAGAAGCAGCGTTCAGTTATTATGCTCCAAATATCTGGAACAAACTCCCAGAAACCTGCAGGTCCGCTGCAACTCTGACTACTTTTAAATCCAGCAAGAAGACTTTTCTTTTTGTCACTGCTTTTAATTGAAACTGAGCCGTTGTGTTTCGTTTTTGGTTAATGAACATTTGGGGCTAGTAAGTAACCCCAGGGAATCAGAGTCTGGGGACTTTGTCCTGGCTGCTTTTCTCTGTGTGCTGCTCGGGACGTATGTGCCATACAAGCGTACACAGCTCATGTTCGGAGAAACCTTAAAGAAAGGCATCAGTAAAGTGGAACTTCTGTGTGAACTATTCACATCTGCAACTGCACTGTAACTTTTTATTTTTGTATGACTGTTTTTAAATGCCTTTTTCTGAATGTCTTTCATCTTTGTAAAGCACCCTGAATTGCCTTGTCTTTGAAAGGTGCTACTGTATATAAATAAACTTGCCTTGCCTTTATCGGACATTTTGTTTTATAAGGAGATCTTACGCAATGTGTTATTTCCGATTACAGGAAACTCTCTTGTCATATTTAATCAAACATTATTTAAGTTAACAAGAAATACACACATTTAATGTAATTCAGGATAATTTTAAAGCATTTAACTTTCATGTTCTGCTACTTCATAGGTCTACTGCCCTACATTTAGGGGGAATTAATGAACATGTAATCCACTTTACTAATTTAATGATATAATGATTAATCAACAAAAAATTAATTATGATAAAAACAATTAATTAATAAAAAGCAGTTCATAAATGAGCTGAAATTAGATGTATTTTCAACAGCTACTATATTAAAATTATTAACACATTAGTAGTATAGTATAATTAAATAGTGAAATACACATTATTCTGAAATGAAATCATTCTACATAATGAGTATTTAACACAGAGTCAAATATACATATTCTAATGGCTGTACATCTACTTGCATGTTGTGTTCAAGTTCTTCACTTCTAACAAAGAAAGGGGAAGAACTGTAGGAATAAAATAACTTCTGTCATTATTTCTTCTCTTACAGGCATCTCTTCTCGCTCGGTGTTCGTACATCTAACATCTTCCCCAGGTATTCACTTCTCCTGATTGTTATCAGGGAAACCTGAATGAGTTGTTTTTCTACTTTATCAAACAGGAATACTTATACATTCAATTTTGACTTTCAAAATGAAGATTTGGTCTTTAAAAAAACAAGAATTAGGAAATGGAATATAACAAGTAATTTATTAATCAACTTGTAATTCCCTCTTTAAATAATCCAAGTCCAGTTCACATTCAAAGGCTGGATTTTAATCTGTATATTTTGGTGCTATTTCATTTATTTGTTGATTAAATAAATAAAGAATGTTCACTATTAAAAACAAGTGATAGAAGAATATTCAATGAGAGGCCAAACACCTAAAAGGCTCATTGAGGGTCTCTTTAGGTACAAATATATATAAGCTCCTAACATTTCTCTCTGTCAGTAAACGCAGATCCAATCCTGAGAAGATAAGAGCAGCTTCTCCTGCATCGAGCTGTGAGTCCATGAAGAGTCTGAATACTTCTTCAATACATTTTGAAAATTGACTGGCAAGATTTGTCTTTTTATTTTATTCTGTAGTTCTTTGACCATGGGTGTATTCAAGGAGAAGCTTAAGCGTTGGTTTGAGCCACAAAAGAGGTGAGATGAAGATTTCTTTATGTTCATGTCAGATCCAGCTGTTTGACTGACTTACTGGGTTCATTCTCTGGAATGCCATTTAAGCCAAAATTAAATAAATACATAAATAAATAAATATATATATATAAAAATGCCTATGAAATAAATTCTGAAATAAATAAATGAGGCAATAAATATGTATACATGTACATTTAAATACACATTTATTTATTTCAAGAGACTTTTATTTCATAATTACACATTTATTTATTTCAAGAGACTCGTATTTCATAATGACATTTATTTATTTCAAGAGACTCGTATTTCATGAGACATTTCCATTCCTTATATGCAAATGAACGGGGCGTGGTTAGCTCACAGGTCCAGAGACCCAGACCAAAGCAACAGCACCACACTGACTACTCGAGAAGAGGAAGAAAATGGAGGAGAAGGACTATAAGGCAAACTACTAAATTCTCAGAGTCAGACACATGGTCAGACATCGCATGTAATCTGATACTCTAAATTTCACCCGCCAGAAATGTTCGCTTCTTCTTCTTCGGTGTAAATTGTCCGTTGGCAAACCAGTTGACTTCTTCTTCTCTCGGTTTTTTGGCAGATTGCAAACAACTTTAAGGTGCATACCGCCACCTACTGAGTGGTGGGCCGTCAGGGCCAGCAAGGCCTTCTCTGCTGGCCTAAACATCATCAGAATATACATTTAATTTTGATATATTTTTTCCACAAATATGTATTAAATTATTCCCCATAGTCTATTCTTTTCATTTCATAGCTTTCCTCTTGGTTGCGCTGCTTCTAGCCTCAGAACAAGATTTGGAGGGCTGGCCTTTATGTTAGAGCTTTTATCCAATCATATTTCAGCCATAATGTGTTGCCAGGGTCCAAGAAATCTGCCCTTAGGCCTTCAGAATCAACAGTGCGGGCGCCTGTAGCTTAAAGTGAACGGAAACAAAACTGTGGCGTTAACCAATCAGATTTTGAGTTGGCGACAACGGGCCAGCTAGCAGGCGTACGATGACGTCAGCACGTGCACGTCTTTTGATTGGATTACATTACATTACATTACATTGCATTTAGCTGAATACGCACTATTGAGAGGCAGAGCTATGTAGAGCTAGCAAACTGAACTTGAATTTGAACGAGCTAATTTGTGTAGATTTCTACAAGCTGTTTTTTTTAAACCCACAATGGCTGAAGGAGGAGAAGAGATCGATTTGGTCGCAGATATAATTACAACGCCATTTTCAAGACGAACTTTTCAAGAAAAGCTAGACATTGTGAGAAGAGAACGGCCAACCCCGACGCTAGCGAGCCTATCACAGCGGGGAAAAGGGTTTGTCCGCCACTTTCAAATCACTAACTACGAGCGGTACCCCTGGCTCACAGCCTCCGAGAGGCACTGCAAATTGTACTGCTGGGAATGCCTGCTATTTGCAAATGATCGATTTGGTGTTTGGAGCCACACTGGATTTGCAAACTTGAGTTGTCTAACCAAGGCAGCAACGAGACACCAAAGCACGGCTGGGCACTTACAAGCAATGGTGCTTTTGAAAACCTTTGGGGACACCCGAGTGGATCTACAGCTCAACGAACAAGTGCGACGGGAAACGGAGCTCCACAACGAAAGGGTGAACAAAAATAGGGAAATATTGAAAAGACTGATTGATTGTGTCCTGTTTTTGGGTAAACAGGAACTTTCATTTAGGGGACATGATGAAAGCGCCGAGTCCAGAAACAGAGGAAACTACGTGGAGCTTCTTTCTTTGCTTGCTGAGAACAACACAGACTTGCATTACCACCTGTCCACAAACAATAATTCAGGTAGGACTGTGTCGGACATCACTGAAGGCCTAGGTGTGAAATGCACGGCCCGCCACCTACTGTACATGAGTGTGAATCATCATATCATTCCATCTCTTAACTCATGGACGTATCTATGATCTAATCCAAAAATAAAAAACATAATAAATAAAACAAAACAACAATCTATGATCTTTCCTGTTAGATAATTGTACCTACCCCAGTTTCACTAAAGGTAAACAGTGCCTTTCTGGTAGCTCTTTCTCCCTCTCCTTTTGTTCCCAAAATACCAACCACACTCCATTCCCTCTCTGCCTCTAAAACGTTATCCTTTAGTTTTTCTCTTTCAGCTTTATAGATGTTCCACATTTTCTTTAACTCCACAGTTCCTACACTTGTCACTGTTACTTTCCCCCATGACATGCAGCGTACCATTCAATGCTGTGTGATTCATTCTGAGTCGAGCTATCATCATTTCCTCCCTTCTGTTTCTGTCTTTATAAATGCTGGTCTGCTGGCATACCAGCAGACCAGCATTTATCCATCACCAGCTTATGTTAGTATTAAATATACAATGTATTCTGGTAACTATCAAAATAAAGACATTGTATAGTGTTCATAAAAGTATTTTTATTTAATAAATTATACTTAATACAATAATATTACAAAAAAAACCTACATCTAAATAAATATATCATCTAAAAAAAGATGCATTTGATTTAAAAATAACAAATATAATTCAAAATGTAAACAAAGAAATTATAAACATTTTTTTTCTTTTTCTTGTTAATATCCATTATCTTCTCTGTTATGTATCTTCCGGTCTTTGCCAATCTGGCCAGCATTTCTTGGTCCTCCACGTCTTTCTCGTGCAGCCACTGCTTGAAGCAAACTGAAAATAAGAAACAACAATGTTTTAACAAATCGTATTCAATAATGTGATGATAGAACTGCAAACAGAATAGCTGAAACTTTAACAAACTAAATAACTCAGTTCCCTCTAATCATTAACCCATGTTTGTATAATGTAGTTAACTCGGTGTGTTGCTGCTAGCATACATAACACCTGACGTGGAAACGTTACTCGTGGATGGGGCTACAGAGCTGCTAGAAAGACAGTGGAACCCGGTGCATTCCTCCGTCTGAATGTGGAGCTCTTTTGATAAATGTTTAGACAAATAGCTCGTGTTACCGCCCTTACATGCTAAATTCTTATTGCACTTTAGGTAACGAGCATTTTCCACCTCAAGACCAAGCCCCCAGGAAGTGTGCCGGACTCTGAGGAAAATATTCGTTGTGTCCAAACGGCGGTACTACAATTTCTTTATCAGTCTGTGACGTCGACCGGCCCAGAAATACTTTTCCCATTGACTAACATTGGGAAAGAGACGTCTGTAAATCGGTGGATAATTTTTTTAAACTAAATAAACTACCCAGTATGAACTATTGTATAGCCCTAGAATCATTAAGTCCTTAAAGTTGTAAAATGCACTAAAAGCCGAATCTAGATTTATTCTCTCTCCATTCTTTCTAGCGAGTCGAGAGTGGGAGCTCGGGGGGCGGGGCTTAAGGGGCACATGCTCTGTGAGCTACATACGGGCACTTCTGCTCTGACAGCCAGGCATGATGGGTAATCTATGACGTTTTGCTCTCTCAAAAGTTGGGCCATTTTGTCATCATGCGCCAATGAGCAGCTCTCATAGGAAAGAACGAGACCCCGCATCCGACGTTGTATCCAGTTTTTATTATACATCCATGCTCAAGACGGGTAACATAACTACCCTCGGGGCGCTTGTTCTCTCCGCCATGTGTTTGTGCGCGCGTGCGTGTGTGTGTGTGTGTGTGTGCGTGCGTGTGTGTGTGTGTTGCATACATGTAGCAGGTTCTGTGTGTAAACTGCCCCACCCCCTCGCACACCGTCAGGGGAGAGAGATCTCTCGTCTGGATTGGAAAGATCGAAGATAAATCAGAGACGCACTTTGTGGTCTTATTGCATATTAGAAACGGAGTTGGCGACTGTAAGACTGCGATATAATGTTTATGTAGATATAATACATATGACATCTATTATTGAAATGTCTCCAGCACCGATAAAAAGATCGATAACGTTGGACATTAACGGTATCACGGTCTTTAATATTTCAGCCCCAGGGCCACGTTAATACTGGGGCTCGGTACCCATCAATATTACATTTCAAATAACCAAGTACTTGGTTACCAACACAAAGCGCAAGTGGCTCTTGCTGCTAAGAACATACCTGGTGATGGTGATGATGGTGGCTCTTCGCTGCAGGATCTGGTTGATGTCCTCCTTGCAGAAGCGGTTGCCTTCGTCGTTCTCGTCCATGATGGCGGCGTAGGCTCCTTTCCTCAGCAGGTCCTCGATCTCCTTCTTGGAGAATTGCTGGACCGGCTAAAGGCGACTCAGAGAGACATTTACACAAGTGGATTTAGAAAACTCTTTTCGAAAATAAACTAAGCGTACTGCAACAGCGACTGACCCAAAGATGACTTGGCATCTAGAAATATGACAGATTTTCTTTTTCTCACCCCGTTGTTGTTGCCACTAGTGCTCTGCAGGACGGGACGGTCCAGCCCGAGCTTCAGACTAGCTTTATCCAGCATTTCCCTCTCATAGTTTCTAGTGATCAGACGGTACACCTCCACCGCCTTAGACTGGCCAAAAGAGCATCATGTGCAGCTGCTGTTCAACGTTTTTAAGCATTAAATGGGAAAATAATATACACTTAAAGAACCGAGGGAATAAACGGAAAGACTGTTGTTGTTGTAGCCCTATTGAACTATCTTTAGGACGGACAGAGCAGATATATATATATATATATATATATATATATATATATATATTGTACCTGCAGGTCATTTTGAGAGTAACTTCCAGTCAGAGTGGAATATCATACAGGTGTCTGCAGCAGTGAGGTTCACAAGCTCTTGATCAGGTGTTTGATGTGGGCTGGCATGATCCTTTCTGCAGCGATGAATAAAGAAAACAAAGAAGACATTATTCATAATAGTAACAACAATAATATTAGTATAACTATTTATATAGCACTTACACAATAATTGCAAAGTGATTCTCACAACAAAAATAAAGAACAAAACAATATCAACAATAAAAAAACTAATGATTATAGGAATGTTAAGATACAAAGAAATGATAAACATTCTGAGAGGCCGACTACAAAAGGCAGCCTCAATGGCTCTTGATGACATCAATGAGCAGTCCCAACACATGCTGCTGTATCAAAAGAAATAGGTCCAGATTTCTTCTATTTAGTGTTGGATGATTTGTTGTATTGATTGCTGATGGATGTTAAGATATGTTTTACAATTATAACAAAAAGATTATTGTAATTGGAATCAAAAAGTTTACAAATCGTAGTTTTAATAAAATGACTAGCAATATAGAATTTATTCAACAGCGGTAAAGCATTAAGTTACTAAATTAACGTACACTGAACTGTAAAACTTACCACTATTTAGGAAAGGACCTGATCAGAAGGATTGACTAGTAAGACAGCAAAGAGGCGGAGGAGGTCTCTGTCATGTACAACCATTGGTAGATGTTACACCTGAAAGAAAGATAAGGAAATAAGAGAAGACAGGAGGACAAGCATCCTCTTAAGTAAAAGACCAAATCATGTCAAGCTTTACATCTTTCAGTCTTTACAATGCACTGTTGGAAATTACATTGCAAGGCTAAATTCAAACTCAATACCATAAATAACTGGGTACCAAAGTGCTCTACCTGATAGGACACGTTCCACACGGAGCAGCAACCAACCGGCTGGGCCGTATGCTGCATATCATCTCCTCCCTCTCCACTGCCTGTCCAATAAAACTGAAATGCCCCAAAACAATCCTATTTAAAAAGTTAAAAACAATAACTTGCTTTTGGCATTCAAATGTATTAGAATCTCACCTTTTTTCTGGATGTCAGGTTGTTCCTGGAGTTCAAATGCAAAACCTGAACGATGACAAGAGCGAGACTTACATTTGACAAGATAAGTAATACCAGAGCAGTGTTTAGGACATGCAGAGACCTGGGGCCTGTACTACGAAGCTGGTTCAACCTAACCTGGATATGTTTGAGTTAGCCGGTTGGCCTAATCCAAAACATACGCGCTCTCGCTAAACGGTCCTACGACGCGGGTTATCAAGTAGATCGCTCAAGCCAGCCGTGTCCTATCTAGTTAGGTGTTCACATGAAAGGGGTGGTATTTGGAGCATTCGACCAATCACAAACATGGCGAAGCGTACTGACAGCGCAGCGTCATACTTCCTGAATGAAAAGTAAACTATAATATTAGACATATGAAGAAGTTAAACTTTAAACATCCATGACTTAAACACTTGATCCAGGATCAAAGCCACAGAGCTGCACCTGCAAGGTGAATACAGCTGGTAACAGAAAAAGTGTTTGAAAGCGTACATTAACAGGTTTATGATATCACTGCCCCGTCTAAGACACGATTTGACTTTAATTACATTTGACTCGAGTGTTTCGTCAACTTAATGTGTTGCTTAAAATAATACTTCTGCATCCAGTATGTGACACTGTGAGTGTTGCAAGGCCAGATACGGCTCAGCTGACTCAGATCAGGAAATATATGATACATTATGAAGTGATATGCCGCGGACTGTACTTAATGTTACTCTGATCCGGTTACTTATGTTGTGGCAGATATTTAAGTAAGCTTTCTTAACGCTAATGTTATAATAGTCAGATTGCTCTGAAAATGGAGGTGATATTCTATTCATGTTCACGTTCACACAGTCGGTGATTTTTGCCGGCCGTCTTTCCTGCGACGGCAGCTTTTCTGTATTTCCTTTCTCTTGTAATATGACTTGATCGCTTTAAACTCCGCACACTGAGCTCTGATTGGTCAGCAGGCAATGCTTTCACTGAGTTGAGCTCTTAGCCTGCAACCTAACCTGGGGGGTATCCTACGAAGCAGGATTTTCGTTTAGCAAGATAACTTCTGGGATTTCCGGTACTATGAAGCTGGTTAACTTTTTAGCGGGCTAGATCTCCATGGTGACTTATCCTGGAACCTACCCTGCTCCGAAGCCGGATAGGTTCCAGGATAAGAGATCAACTCAGCGAAAGCACCACACCTGCTGACCAATCAGAGCTCAGTGTGCGGAGGAAATACAGTTTTTAACTGCCGTTGCAGGAAAGACAGCCGGCCAAAATCACCGACTGTGTGAACGTGAAAATGAATAGAACATCACCTCCCATGTTCAGAGCAATCTGACTATTATACTATTATGTTAAGAAAGCTTAATTAAATATCTGCCACAACATAAGTAACCGGATCAAAGTAACATTACGTAGCCTACAGTCCACGGCACTCACTGTGAGTGCAGACGTCGATGTGTCCCATTATCATTCATATCACATCATATCACATCATAATGTATCATATCTTTAGAACACATCATAGCACAGAGACAGCTCTGGTTAAAGTCACAAATGCCATTCTAATAGCCTCTGACAAGGGACGTGTCTCTATTCTTGTTTTGCTCGATCTCAGTGCTGCATTTGATACTATCGACCATGATATCTTATTGCAAAGACTAGAGCACTTAGTTGGCATACAGGGAACTGCTTTAGACTGGTTTAGGTCCTATCTATCTGAACGCTCTCAGTTTGTACGTGTCAATGATGAATCTTCCACGCAAACCAAAGTTAGCCATGGAGTGCCACAGGGCTCAGTGCTCGGACCTATTTTGTTCACATTATATATGCTTCCGTTAGGCAATATTATAAGGAATAATTCTGTAAACTTTCATTGTTATGCGGATGATACTCAACTATATTTATCAATCAAGCCTGATGAAATTAATCATCTAAATAAAATTCAAGACTGCCTTAAGGACTTAAAAACGTGGATGACCTTAAACTTTTTGATGTTAAACACTACCAAAACTGAAGTTATTGTACTTGGCCCGACGAATCTACGAAACAAATTATCTAAGGATATACTAACTATGGATGGCATTAATTTGGCCTCCAGTGAGACTGTAAGGAATCTTGGTGTTATATTTGATCAGGATTTATCCTTTAACGCCCACATAAAATCAATTTCAAGGACCGCCTACTTCCATCTACGTAACATTGCAAAAATCAGGCATATCTTGCCTCAAAACGATGCAGAGAAACTAGTCCATGCATTTGTTACTTCAAGGCTGGATTATTGTAACTCTTTATTATCAGGGTGTACCAAGAAGTCAGTCAAGTCGCTTCAGCTGATTCAAAATGCTGCGGCTCGTGTACTAACCAGAGTTAGGAAAAGGGACCACATTACTCCTGTTCTGGCTGCCTTACACTGGCTCCCTATAGAACACAGGATAGAATTTAAAATTCTTCTTCTCGCCTACAAAGCCCTTAATGGGCAGGCGCCATCTTACCTTAAAGAACTCATTATACCCTACTGTCCTACTAGGGCATTGCGTTCCAAGAATGCAGGGTTGTTGGTTGTTCCTAGAGTCTCTAAAAGTACAATGGGAGCCAGAGCCTTTTCTTATCAAGCTCCACATTTGTGGAATCAGCTTCCAGTTTGTGTTCGGGCGGCAGACACCCTATCCGTTTTTAAGAGTGCGCTTAAGACCTTCCTTTTTGATAAAGCTTATAGTTAGGGCTGATTAGATTCAGCCCCTAGTTTTGCTGATATAGGCTTAGTTTGTCGGGGGACATCTTACTTCTTCCTTCTCTCTGTCTATACCTGTGTACTCTCATGTTCCGATTAACCCAGCTTCCCCAAATGTCTTTCTTTTTGGTGTCTATATAAGCCGGTGATATTGGGCTATATAAATAAACATTGATTGATTGATTGATCTTTCCTTATCTGAGTCAGCTGAGCCGTATCTGGCCGTGCAACGCTTACAGTGTCACATACTGTATGCAGAAGTATTATTTTAAGCAACACATTAAGTTGACGAAACTCTCGAGTCAAATGTAATTAAAGTCAGGTCCACTCGTGTCTTGGACGCATTCAAACACTTTTTCTTTTGCCAGCTGTATTCACCTTGCAGGTGCAGCTCTGTGGCTTTGATCCTGGATAAAGTGTTTAAGTCATTTATTTTTAAAGACTTCTTCATAGGCTATTTGACTAATATTATAGTTTCATTTAACTTTTCATTCAGGAAGTATGACGCTGCGCTGTCAGTATGCTTCTCCATGTCTGTGATTGGTCGAATGCTCCAGATACCACCCCTTTCATGTGAACGCGCACCTAACTAGATAGGACACGGCTGGCTTGAGCGAACGAGTTGATAGACAGCGTTGTAGGACAGTTTAGCGAGCGAGGCTGGCTTCGTTTTGGATTAGGCCAACCGGATAACTCAAAACATATCCAGGATATGTTGAACTAGATTCGTAGTATACCCCCCTGGTCCCGACCAGGTTAGCCGCTAAGCATAAGTTACCATGGAGATCTAGCCTGCTAAAAAGAGAACCAGCTTCGTAGGACCGGAAAGCCGGAGTTTTCTCTGAATTTAGCCGGCTAAGCGAAAATCCTGCTTCGTAGTATACCCCCCCCCAGATCAAATCCCCTGACAGACTCACACACTTTGGTGATATCCTCATCTGATAATGATGTTTCATTTTTAGCAGCAAAGTAACATTACTCAAGGTATATGTTGGACCCAACTCATGTACAGTATGTTTTGCATCTCCTCAACAATGGTAACAAACTGTCCCTACAGTTTCAGGTATATTAACAAAGAAAAGTTTGCAATGAAGCACAAAACCCCTCTTTGTATTAAGCGAGCTTCCACAAAAAGTACAGCTTAACATGCTAACCTGGTGGAGTTAAGCTAACGTTAGCTAACTTCATGTCCAACACAAAACCTCTAACGTGCATTACATTGACGATTTTAAACACAACTTAACTCTCTCAACTTGTAAAATAACGTTAATTTAACATACCCTTAAATAACTACATCACGTTTTTCAGGGGCAACACAAACTGCAGAAAACGTTAGCTGCTAACTGTTGTTAGCTAAGACAGCTAGCTCGTAACAATAGCCTCCTAGCAAATTTAAGGTTACGTTAACATTAACTTAACGTTGTAAGAAAGCAAAACGAACCTTCGAGAAATCTTTTACTCTCAGACTGGGTGTAATTGTGTAGCGTTGCTTACCTCCAGAAGGACTTTTAGCTGTTTCCCAGTAGAGACTAGAGAGAGCTGTCAGAGCGGTTGCTCTCAGAAGAGCAGCATTGGGTGGACCAGAGAAGAACCAGTTAAGCACCAGAAAAGCACAAGAATGGTTCTTGAACCGGTTTGGTTTATTGGCAGTTTGCAAACCACTTAAGAGTAATGGAGCGTGAAACAAAAGCTATTGAGTCAGTGTTGTGGTGCTGTTGCTTTGGTCTGGATCTGTGAGCTAACCACGCCCCGTCCATTTGTCTCATCATGAAATACAAGTCACATGAAATAAATAAATATGTCATTATGAAATACAAGTCTCTTGAAATAAATAAATGTGTCATTATGAAATACAAGTCTCTTGAAATAAATAAATGTGTCATTATGAAATACAAGTCTCTTGAAATAAATAAATGTGTCATTATGAAATAAAAATCCCATGAAATAAATAAATTTAAATTTTACATGTATAAATATTTATTGCCTCATTTATTTATTTCAGAATTTATTTCATAGGCATATTTATATGTATTTATTTAATTATTTATGTATTTATTTATTTAATTTTGGCTGAAATGGCATTCCATATCATTCTGGACTCTCAAAAGTTTTGTTCAAAGAGATTAGTTAGTTACATTTTTGACACAAATGAAAAAGGTGAAACACAGTGCTGTGCTATCACCTTCACTAAAAAACAACATGGTAATAAAAAAAGAAGACTGCCGTAACTCCATTCACGGCAAAGTGCTGTTAGTTTCAACATCACATCAATATTCAACATTGAAACTAGCTGAACAAACCTTATCATGAAGGGAATGCCTTTGTTCTAGAGCAGTGGTTCTCAAACTTTTAAAGACCAAAGATTTGGTCTTTTGAAAAACAAGAATTAGGAAATGGAATATATCAAGTAATTTATTAATCAACTTGTAATTCCCTCTTTAAATAATCCAAGTCCAGTTCACATTCAAAGGCTGGATTTTAATATGTATATTTTGGTGCTATTTCATTGATTTAGATGTTTTATTAATAGCACATAAAGGAATAATGTTCACAATTAAAAACAAGTAATAGAAGAATATGCAATGAGAGGCCAAAGACTTAAAAGGCTCATTGAGGGTCTCTTTAGGTACAAATATATAAGCTCCTAACATTTCTCTCTGTCCGTCCACGCAGACCCAATCGTGAGAAGATAAGAGCAGCTTCTCTTGCATCGAGCTATGGGTCCACGATGAGTGACGGCTCCATGGATTCCCCTCCTTCTTTCAACAGTAGGATGCAGTTTCTGAACCTTTCCAGCTTTCATTTCCTTCAGAGTATAACAGTTTTATTTAACACTAACTTATCTGCAGTGCTGATAACAATGTGTGCCTCGTCCATATATCTAATTTTCTATAGATGATGGAGATCAGACACATTTAGACCAGGTTTCACTCCTCCTCCTCCTCCTCCTCCTCCTCCTCCTCCTCCTCCTCCTCCTCCTCCTCCTCCTCCTCCTCCTCCTCCTCCTCCTCCTCCTCCTCCTCCATAAATTCATAAATAACTAAAGAATCATGTAATGTAACTTCTTCTTTAATCTCTCAGCCCCTCCACAGTACTCCAAAGAGCACCAATGCTGGACGTGTTCATTTTGTCAGCTATTTTTCATTTAGTCTTAGTCCTGTGTCAAATGTCCTCGTTAGTTTTAGTCATATAGTCACCTTCATCCTGTTTCTATTTAGCCAAGTTTTAGTCGACTAAAAGTCTGAGCATTTACTTTTCCTGCATTGTTGATTTTTATCTATTTGCCTAGTCCTTGTTTTTTATATAAATGTAATGAGATTTTTCTTTAGATTATGGAAATCTATAGAATACAAATAAACATGTAGTGATAGTATGAATAAAAAACAAAAATGACACGAGTTAAACTCTGAACTTTAACAGGTGAAAGTACATTAAGTATATAGAGTACATGCTTAGATTTTGTTTGTGGGAAAATTGGACATGCTGATGAAAGCAGAGTGAAGTCAACACACTGGGATTCAAAATGAAGATTTGTTCTTTAAAAAAACAAGAATTAGGAAATGGAATATAACAAGTAATTTATTAATCAACTTGTAATTCTCTCTTTAAATAATCCAAGTCCAGTTCACATTCAAAGGCTGGATTTTAATCTGAATATTTTGGTGCTATTTCATTGATTTGTTTGTGTAAATCAATGTAATAGGTCATAAGTAATAGCAGAATATGCAATGAGAGGCCAAACACCTAAAAGGCTCATTGAGGGTCTCTTTAAGTACAAATATATAATCTCCTAACATTTCTCCCTGTCAGTGAACGCAGCGAGGGCGTCATTCCTGAGGAGGAAGAAGCAGTTTCTCCTGCACTGAGCGGTGAGTCCAAGATGAGTGACCGCTCCAAGGATTAACCTACAGCTTTCCAACGGTAAGAGTCAATGTCTCTGTAGGTCAACAGAACCTTTTGAGCCAGAACTGTCTTCAGAGTGTAACTATCCTCGTCCTTATTCTTTATTTAAATGTGATGCTCCTTTATCTTTAGATGATCCATATCAGACACTATTAGTCCGGGTTTTCTTCCCATCCTTTACCTTTGGATTCTCTGCACCGAGCTGTGTGCTCATGAAGAGCGACGGCTCCATGGGTTTCCTACATCTACAAGTTAATGTTGTAACGTGCATTACAACACCTACATTGTTCATCACTTACTGATTGTATTTGTTCTCCAGAGATCCAGGGATAAATGCAGGACCCTGGACAGACTTGGACAGACCTGGACTCCATTGTCTCGGTTATTTTTATTATTACGACATTATCACAGCATCAGAGCTGGTGATGGAGATTTTCTTCCAGTAGTTTTTTACTTGTATTTTTTAAGATTTCTCTTTGCAAAATACAAATAAAGATTATTTCAACCAATTACCTTTTATTGTAAATGGGAAGTCATTGTACAGAATTCACATGTTAGCCAAAAAACACAAACTTCAGACATAGATAAGAACTTCTAACTAAGTCTCAGTGTTTACTATCTCCTTGAAGGATGATGATTTGTGAATGTAGGACATACAATGACAGCTCTTAACATCTGTGCTAATTAAAAAATAAAAAACCTTCCTTTAAGCTGATTCATAATTATTTGTATTGAAGGTACAGGCTAATGCACGTTCTTTGTTTTATGCAATCATTACTAATATGAATATTATATTTGTACACATTTTATTTTAGATTAAACATCTGTGAAATCATTGTAATGCAATTCTGTATTATTATATATGTGTTCTCACTTCTTTAAAGAAAGAATGAACACACATAAAGCAAATGTGCTTCTTTTTTTTTTAAATCAGCGCTTTCAGATTTAAGGCATTTTCTATGTTTTTTATTATCATTTATATGAATTTTAATATATTTTCCCTGATGTTTTCCCCCTCTCTGCTTTAAAGTTAAATCTGACCTATGGTTTTTATTTGTATCTATACATGCTACATACTCATCATCAGAATACTTTGTTTATCCTGTGGAAGAGTTTGTATATTTGTATTAAATGAATATCTGAGCTTACCTTCTCCAGAGAGGCGGTGGAGGATGTTGAGGAAAGCGTCTCCTGAACACTAGAAGAGGAATAATATCGAGAAAAAGACCGTCTTCGGTCCAGCTGTTGTTTAGACTAAAATACACGCCGGCAATGGACCACACTGAACCGTCTACGAACTGGGGTCTCTTCAAAACATGGAGGAAGAAGTGGGGCCTGGCAGACAGTGCTGCATGCGAGTGCGGTGACCCTGAACGCCCAACACATAATCACCACCTGCCCTTTATCAGGACCAGTGGTTCTCAAATGGGGGTACGCGGACCCCTAGGGGTACGTTGGAGTACTGCAGGGGGTACGTGACATTTATTTGGAATGTAGCATTTAAGTGTTTCTCAGTTACAAGGTTGTTGTTTTAATAAATCAGACACTGATGGTGCAGCGCTGTGCTGTACCTCTTTGTAGGCATTTTCTCCTTAACAAATTGTTTTTGGCTGAATTTATTTTTCAAAGGGGGTACATTATTGAAAAAAGTTTGAGAATCACTGATCTAGACCAGCCTCTGAAGCCAGCCTCTTCCACTCAGGACCAGAGATGCGGGCATGGCTACACGACACCGAGTTGGACCTCTGACGTCACACCAAAGAAGAAGAAGACTAAAACACAAACACTTTGAGACGTGACCTTCTGTGTGAAACTAAACTTCATGTAAAAGAATCTCTCTGTTCTGCATCTGAGCGCCTGCTTTTAAATAACATGCATTAAATATCAGCAGCGGTGAAAGTTCATTTACTCGAGTAATGTACTTAATTAAGCAAACTTAATATATTTGTACTTTACTTATTACATATTTACTGCACTACATTCATCTAAATTACTTTAAATGTTGATTTTGACACCCAAATAATGAATATCTTGTTTTAAAGGTACATTTAACTGTCAAAGATTATATATAAAACCTCAAACAATAAATGGGTTGAAAAAAAATGGCATCAACTTTACAAATAAGTAATTTTTTGTGTACATTTGTTCATTATTTTGACAGTTTTTAGGGTTTTATGCAATAATCAGTGGTGAAATGAATATCTACATTTAGTCAAGTGTTTTACTTAGAGGCACATTTCGGGTTCTTTACTTTCTTTTTACTTTATATTTATATACACTTCATCTCAAAGGATAATCATGTCGTTTTTACCACGCTACATTTATCTGACATCCTAAACTGTACGAATTTAAATATGAACACACAAAACATTTAAAGAACTGTACAATATTAAGCTTGGCTGTTGAATAAACTGTCAGAATCAGAATTCAGATTCAGATTCAACTTTATTGTCATTACATAGTACATGTACTAGTGACGAAATGTAAGTTTAGGCATCTGACAAGAAGTGCAAAACAGCAGTGCAGGAGTCTACATAATGATAATAATTATACATGGAATTATTATAAGTAGAATAATTATAAATAGGCTATAAACAGATGAATATATACAGTGTAAACGGCATTGACAGTATATAAACAGGTGGGTGGTGGGTATGGGCTTGAGTCTATCAGCGGGCAGAGTTCAGCAGGGTAACTGCCCTGGGGAAGAAGCTGACCCTGAACCTGCTGGTCTTGGACCGGAGGCTCCTGAGGCGCCTCCCCGAGGGTAGGAGGACAAACAGATAGTTTGTAGGATGAGAGGTGTCTTTGAAGATGTTGTGCGCCCTCTGCAAACACCGTATCCCCTGGATGTCCTCGATGGCAGGGAGTGGGACACCGATTATGCGTTGGGCGATTTTCGTCACTCTCTGCAATGCCTTTCTATTGAGCATTGTGCAGTTCCCATACCAGGCTGTGATACAGCTGGTCAGGATGCTCTCAATGGTGCAGCGATTAAATTCACCAGAATCTGAGGAGAGAGGTGATCTTTCTTTAGTCTCCTCAGGAAGAAGAGACACTGGTGAGCCTTCTTTACTATGCTGGTGGTATTGTTGGACCATGAGAGGTCATCGGATATGTGGACCCCCAGGAACTTGAAGCTAGACACACGCTCCACCGCCATTCCATTTATGTGGATGGGAGTGTGTGTGTTGCCTTTCGATTTCCTGAAGTCCACAATGAGTTATTTTGTTTTTGTTGTGTTAAGGGCCAGGTTATTGTCAGCACACCACTCAGTCAGATGCTGAACCTCCTATAGGCCGTCTCATCGTTGTTGTGGATGAGGCCAATCACCGTTGTGTCGTCTGCATACTTGATGATGGTGTTTGAACCATGTACAGGGTAAAGTCGTGGGTGAAGATGGAGTAGAGGAGGGGGCTCAGCACGCAGCCTTGTGGGACACCGGTATTTAGGCTGAGGGTCATGGAAGAGAGATTATCCAACCTGACATTCTGGGGTCTGTTGGTTAGAAAGTCTAAAATCCAATTACAAAGGGGGGCGTCGATGCCCAGGTCGTTGAGTTTTGTGATTAGCTTGGAGGGGATGACGGTGTTGAAGGCTGAACTGAAGTCGATGAACAGCAGTCTTGCATAGGAGTTGTTTTTTTCCAGATGTGAGAGGACGGTGTGAAGTGTTATGGAAACAGCATCTTCCGTGCTCCTATTAGTCCGGTATGCAAATTGATGGGGGTCCAGTGTCTGTGATAGGCGGGATTTAAGGCCCCGGCCACACGAGGACGAAAACGGCTAAACGCATAGGATTAACACAATCGCAAAAAAGCTTCCGTCCACACGCAATATTCACCGGATAGTGTCTGTCCACACGAGACAGCTCCGTTTAGCTCCAACCGCTGGAGAAGCTGCAGTACATATGCCGAGCCTGTACGTGGCGCTGTAACTTCCTCCACAAAAGCAGCGAAGAAGCATGGTTGTCATGGTTGTCATGGTTGCCCTTCTGTTTATTCTCCGCGGTGGGGGCCGAGGGAACCGGGCAGAGTTTTTCGCCAGTCAACGTGTATTAAAAGTTTAAATCTTCCGGACAAAATTATAAAAGTGCCGGTCAAAGGTCTTCTTTGTTATTTATTGAGCTTTAAAACTAATGAATAACGACTCTATATAATATTATAATAAAATACACGGAGCCTCTCTTTTTCCTCCCTCTCTTCTAACAGCGTTAGTGTCTGTCTCATGCAGCAGCTCATCCAGTAATGAGTGACCCGGCCGACAGTAAAAATAAACATATGTATAACTAGTTTAGGTAGTTTGAGAGGTAATTAAAATAGCTAAAGGTGATGATCTGACTTGAAGTGTGTGTTTTGCTCCGTTCACCGCCGCATCACAGCGGGAGGAGCTGCAGGTGAGCTGCAGGTGAGCAGAGCTGCGTGTCTCCGTCCTGTCAGATTAGACTTCACTCGCGTTTAGGTCCATATCGAGAGAAAGATAAATAATCTGAATTCAGTGTGCAGTTTACTTTGACGCGGGGGTGAGCAGTAGAGGTGGGGAGAGGCGGGGCTATTGCCTCATCATTATCAGAAAATGATCGTATAGGGCGTACACACGGAGACGTTTGACCCCCCAGAGCGTTGCGTATGCCGTTCTATCCACCTTGGGACCCGTTATCGTTACCGTAGTCGTTTAGTGCCGTATTCTGTCGTCCTAGTGTGGCCGAATGGTCTATATGACACAAAACGGTAACAGAAACGACCGTTAACGTCCTCTTGTGGCCGAGGCCTAAGCTGTGCTAGGACCAACTTCTCGAAGCACTTCATGAGAATGGGTGTAAGTGCAACGGGACGGAAGTCATTCAGGCCTGCTGCAGCAGAGTGTTTGGGCACTGGCACTATGGCGGTGGTTTTAAAGCACGTGGGGACAACAGGAAAAGGGAGAGACTTCGCCTCTCTATGAGAGCTGAGCTGTGTGATTTCATGTATTTCATTTGTTTCTTTATTTCTCTGAACAGCGCTTTAGTCTGGAGGTTTTAAAGTGCTACAAATAAAGTTGTATTGTATTATATTTTGAAAAGAAAACTGTCTCGTCTATCATCTGAATTCCTAAGCACACAGCTTCATCTGGCTTCACACATCATGACTACTAGAATATTTCACACAGGCACAAGTAAAAGTGAAACTGTGAAGTTACACCTGTAGATAAAAGAAAGTAGGTCAGTTATATACACTCTAAATACACATTACTGGACATAACAAGGGCGGATAATGATCAGGTTTTATAATATAACTATTCAACTTTTAAATAAAATCCCTTACCAACAACAACACAACACAAAAACACATTCTCTATAGGCAGATATTTGGAGTCTGCGCTACAAGGGATTATTACTTAGACATTTAATCATCTTTTCAGTAGAGACTTACAGAAAGACAAGAAAACTCATAACAGCTATACAAGTGTATTTATCTGGTATCTCTTACATTTAGTAAAAAAAAACTCTATATACACTTTTATATATTTCATTTA